AAGGGACCTTTCTTTGCAAGATAACTGGGCAGCATGCACAACGTGGTTCTCTGACTGTGGGACAGGCAAGAGAAGCCACCATGATCACTCAGAAACCAAACTCATGACCCTGGCCTTGGTCCCTCCCAACTAGGCTGAGAGTCCGGGGGGGGGGGGGGGGGGGGGGGAGGAGTCAAAATAGTGCTTGTTCTTAAAAACCTTTTCAAAATTATGTTTATGAGGAACCCCGGGAGAGGTGAGATTAACCCAAGGAGCCTTTATTCTTTATATTCAGGGTATCGCTTTGTACAACATACAGTGTCAATGCCGGCATTAAACTTAAACTCCCTTTCCTTAAAGAATTTCTGCTCCAATATTTGCAGATGCATTTCATGAAAATCGTTTAGAACAGATTTCAGGAGCATTATTGGGCATTGTGGAATCTCCATTTAGGTCATTCCAGAGCCGGCACTACCCCAATCCCAAATCTGTTCTCAGAAATGTGCGCAAGAAAATTCTCCCGGGACCCAGGGGAGCCTGGATAAAGTGCACTGGCTCCTGGCCAGGGCAAAGAACAAAATAATATTCTGTATTTAAAAAGCTGTTTTTCTTTCCTTTCTTTCTTTCTCTTTCTTCTCTTCTTGGAGGGGAGGGGAGTGTTTCTATCTTTCATTGTGCAACAAATCCCTAAGGACCACAAATAAGTCCCTTAAAGTGCTCCCATTAACGTTAATGCAGTCAGAACAGGAACTGTTAAAACACCAGAGCAAGCAATGAAAATAAAAGGGGTCCTGCCTTAGATAATATTAGGATGTGCTTCATTCACTCTTGACGATGCTGATCTTACGGGCAAGAACCTGGCAGGGAGGGGTGATCTTCAGACCGCTGCAAGGACTCCAAGGAAGGTGGAGTCTGGGATGCTGGCAGCAGCAAAGAGAAGCTTGTGGGGAAGGGGCCTTGAACTCCACCATGATCTCCATTGAGCCACACATCCCAAAGCCACCCCAAATAAATACACAATCTAAGGAAAAGCAGTAGATGAGTTATGCTAAATCAGCCTCAAATGGAGCCCCTGGCCATCCTTCTGGTCAGCTGACTTAATGTCCCCTAAGTAGACGGAAGGTCAGCGTCTTCAACCCACCTTCAACTAGAGACTACTTAGACTTCTCTAGTGGCCCTGCTTTTGTAAACGGGCTGAGGGATAATATTTCCTTCCAACGAGGAAGCCCCCAGAGAAGGAAAAGTGGGAGACCTGCTGGCCAACAGTAAAACAGCTGTGCACCAGAAATCAGAAGGCCCGGGTTCTGGCCTAGACCCTGCCCTTAGCTATGAGATGGACCTTCTACAACCGTAGTCTTCTCCACGGAATGCAATGGCTCAACTACAGAAGATCTCTACCAGCCCTTCTAAAATTAAAGAATCTACATCACCACATGTTCCAAAGGAAGACAGTGACAACTGTCTCTTTGAAATCAACTATCAGCCCTCAGGAACCTTTCCTGTTTAGAACTTTCCAGTGGAGGGGAATATATATATCCAGTTCAGAGACGACACTAAACATAAATGAGGAAACTATTCCAGTGAAGTCTTTTATTAAAATTAACCCATGAGGGGCACCTGGGTGGCTCAGTCAGTCAAGGGTCAGGCTCAGGTCACGGTCTCACAGCTCGTGGGTTCGAGCCCCGGGTCGGTCTCTGTGCTGACAGCTCAGAGCCTGGAGCCTGCTTCAGATTCTGGGTCTCCCTCTCTCTCTGCCCCTTCCCCGCTCACGCACTCACGCTCTCTCTCTCTCAAAAATACATAAACATTTAAAATTTTTTTAATTAAAAAAATAATGAAATAAAATTGATGCATGGGATGTTAATTAGGATCTTAAAACCCTTTAATCCGAAATTGTCTAAAAAAACAAAACACCAACACTCTGATCTAGACCGTGGTTCAGCTTTATTTTCTTTACCTCCCAATGCTTTTCCTCTTTCCTGGAACTAGGGAACGTTTCATGAGTTAAAATAAGGTTTAGAGAAATAGTAGAATCTAGTACCCTCTAGAACAATTCCAAAGGTCTTTGATTTTTCATTTAGTTGACAGAGGCAATGTTATCGGTTTTCAAGAAAAGTGTTTGTTTTTGTTTTTCCTTTTTCCGCATTAAATACCAGGAACAGGCAAAGGGCAGCATAAAGAAAAACAATGGGTTTTGCCATGGCTCTGGTTGTGGCTTGGCAATTAATTAGTTGCATGACCTGGCACACAATACTTAACCTCTATTACTCTGTTTACTTATCTGCAAAAATGTGGATCCTAGCACACGAGTTCCCCTGACACTCCCCTCCACTGGGAGTTAAAGGGGATAACAAGGCCAGGGAAGAAGAATGGACAGTGTTGGTTCAGTTCTCTCACTGACTCTCCAAATTGAGGGCGTTTGCCTCATTTTCAAAACTATGGGCGCCGCTAATTAACCTTGCTGGTTAGGAACAAATTCCTGTGTAGACGGAATCAAGCCCAAAGCAAATGAAGTGTTGAAGCAAAAGTTAGGCTTCTAAGAGTCTACCTAGGTTGACGTAACTGGCTTCTTTGAAGGTACCGTTCAGTTCCTTCCCAGTTTTTAACGTTAAGGACGGCAGGACGCAGCACAAGAGAGACTGAGTCAGACTCCAGGGATCTAACCTCCGACCAGCTGGGCCTAGTTTCCTCATCTATCATCTGGCTTGGAAAAATCTGAACCCTATCGGTGTGAAACCCTCTATCGATCTATACACTGACCTGCAGCTTCCCTAACCAAGTAGAAGACTAACTTCAAAATTCAACTTTTATAGTAACTGAATCATGCGCTAGTCTGAATGAATTATACATTAGGTAAATTATAATTACACATTTTATTGTTAAGCGGAGCCTGATTTCATTTGCCAATTAAGAAAGGGCCTCCGCCTGCACCATTCAAATGCGATTACTTCACCCTGAAGCAGTGGGTATTTCAGCACCAAAAATAAATAAGTAAGTGCGGTAAGAGGTGTGCCTGAGCGTTCACCAAAGCCTGCGAACAAAACCAACCAGAATAAAGAGAATAAAAAGACGTTGGGGGTGCCTGCGTGTCTCAGTCGGTTGAGCACCCAATTTCGGCTCAGGTCATTATCTTGCAGTTTGTGGGTTCAGGCCCCGCGTCAGGCTCTGTGCTGAGAGCTGGGAGCCTGGAGCCTGCTTGGGATTCTGTGTCTCCCTCTCTCTCTCTGTCCCTCCCCCGGCTTGTGCTCACTCGCTCACTCTCTCAAAAACAAATAAACATTTAAAAAAATTTGTAGGTAGTAAGAAGATTCTAGAACTGGCTATTTTTTTCAATTATCACCTGCATTGTAGGTTCTTTCACACAGTACCAACACTGTCCCTAGCTTCCAAACTCCTCTCCATAAATAAAGTCATTAGGAAGAGATGAAGAAGCTCTCATACCTCCAGGCGGACCTGCTCCAGCTTCAGCTGCCCACGGTGGGAACATCTCAACTCTTTCTAGAAACACTCTGATTAACCAGATTCACTCATTTGTCTCCCCACCCCCACAGCTGTGCGCTGCTCCCTCCACTTGATTTACACCTTCCGGATGCACCCTCCAAACTCTGCCTGTCCACATGGATTCCATCCTTCAAGACTCTACTCCAATGTTCTCTCAAACGCCACCAGGCAAGAACGCTCGGTTCATCATTCCGGTGGGGGCTGTCCTCTCTCTTTGGCAGCCAATGTTCTTGGGATATATGTTTTGTCAACCCGGAGCTACTTTGATCTTGCCTTGGACTGTACTGGGGTCTTGCCTGAACACTTGCTCCAGATGACAGATGAAGCCTGCCCCTCGGGAGCACAGCCACTTACTTTACGGGTTAAATATCCTTTTCTTTCCCAAAGCACCAAGCCCGCGCCACAAGGTGGTGGCTCAAATAACGCAACTGATAGATTAAATGCTCTGTAATTAAATATAAATACGGTTTGGCTCACCCGTTTCTTTGGTGTGGCACACCAAAACACACTGGTGAGTTTCAAATTTCCCTGATTGGCTTCATGCTTCCTTGATGTCCCTGGACAGGCGCTAAGCAATTGTGAAATCACCAAAAAGGTAGGGAGGCGAGGGGGAAGAAAGGAAGAAAGGGAAGCCGGGGCCTGAATAATCCTCACTGAGTCATCATTTCCTGAATGATGGAGCTTGCTGCTTCGGGGGATCTGGAGAATGGAACCGGAGCAGCGGGTGGAGGACGAGCCCCCGCCCCCCGCCCGCCCTGCAGCTGCAGGACCCAGACCCGGGCCGGGCCCGCACCCACGTGCTGGAGCGCCCTCCTGTGGCCGCGCCGCAGTCCCCGCCGCTCCCGGCTCGCCCGCAGACCACGCTCCCCGCCGCTGAAGAAACAAGAGACGCAGAAAGTTTCCGAGCCAGGCGGTTAGCGAAAGGTCGAAGCCAGGTCTGGGAGCCTCGATGCGCGGGCGTGGCGGGAGCGGCGCCCAAGGCTGGCGGCGAGGGCGAGCAGTGCGGGCCCAGGAGGACTCCCGTAGGGCTCTGAGGTGCTCCCCCCCAGCGGGTTCGGGGCCTCGAGATCCCGAGAGCAAAGGCTTCCCCCGTACCCCGGCCACACAGCAAAGCGCGGGAGGGGAGCCAGGGCCCACGACAGGACCGGATGCCTCCCCTCGACCCCCAAGCTACCAGGGCGCTCTTGCAGCGCTTGGGTTTGTTTTATTCATTTTCTTAATTGGAGGGAGGGGCGCACCAACTCCCTTTGGTGCATCCGATCCCCCAGTCAGGATTCTGGGTGCCCCCCAAGAACCCACCTGGAGTCCACCGCCCCACCCAACGCCGCCCTCCCCCTCTGGGGTGACAAGTGGAAACAGCAACCCCCTCTCTTCCTCCTCCCCGCTGGGGAGGTAATGCTCCAGCAGGGTCTCCCTGCGGCCCGCAGAGGACCCGCCGACCGGGAGGCGGCAGCGGGGTACGCGGCGCCCCGGGGCGAAGGGCCCCGAAGCGGGCGAGGCCGGGCCGGCGCGGCGCTTACCTCGTCCACGGTGAGCGGCATGCAGATCCGGTACTCCTTCAGCAGCATGGTCCTGCCGGCCGCGGGCCCCCGGGGCGGGAAGCGAGGGGCGCCCCCCAGACCAACAAGGCTGCCTCCCCGACGCAGGGCAGGGCGCCCGTAGCCCCCCGTTCGGGAGCCGGCCGGCGAAGCAGTCCCGGCGCTGCGCTCAGCTCCTGGCTTCCTCCTCTCCGCCCGAGAGCATGTCAAGGTTCGGGTCCGAGTGTTCGGGGCTCCCCCGCCTCCTTCCTCACCGAGGTCTGTCCTCCCGGTACGCGGTGTTGCAAAGTCAGGGAGGGATCGGGGCGGGCGGGAGGGAGACCCGCTGGAAACCGCTCAGATCGGCAGCCCTGGGCGGTAGGAACGGCCACCGGATCAGGACATGCCCGGTGGCGGGCAATGGAGGAAAAAAGAGAGGTTTCCAAAAATTGAAACGAATGCACAAAAGTCACCGGCTCGATCCGCCTCCGAAAGCAGACATGAACCTGGCGACCCCCCCTCCTTCTCCGGCGGGTCTGCCAATGCTAATGTCACCAGGAACACATTGCAGCCGGAGCTGGAGATGCTGACTTTCCAGACAAAGGCTCGATCGGTTCCTCTCCCCGGGCGGTAAACAAGATTTCCTGCTCTTTTAGGGCCGGTCCCCGAGGCGCTCCGGGGCTCTCAGCAGGAGAAAAGGGAAGCTGCCGCCGCCGCCGCTCGGCTCTGTCGGGCTGGGGCCCGGGGTTCCTCCAACCCGGGCTCGCGGCGGCGAGGGGCGGGCGAGAGGAAGCTGGCGCCTTCCGCGCACGTCCCCTCCCCCGGGTCCCTTGGCTCCCCGAGCGCCGAGCGTGCCCGCGAGTTTGCAGCCACCGCGCCGGAGCCGGAGAGTCCGCGCGGAGCTGCAGTGTGCCTCGGGCCGGGGAGGTGGGTGCGGGAGGAGCGAGCGCCAGCGAGGCTGACATCAGCAGCGGCCGCGGTGGGGAGGGTAGCCCCATCCGGCCAATGGGGAAATGGCAAAGAATGTGGAGGATTTAAACAAAACAGCATGTCTCTCTCTCTCTCCCCGGCTCCTGCCAGACGGCAGGGCTGCCCCGGAGCTGAGCTCGGCCGGCGCTGGGGTGGATCGGGAAAGGGGGCTTTTCCCTGACTCCCCTACCCTTGGGAGTCCGTTCTCCAGTGTTCCCTGGGTGCCACGGTGCTCCGCCCGGCCACTCTGGGTAGCTTCTGGTTGCCAGGTGCACAAGCGAGGCTTGACCTTTGGGGGAGAAAAGGTCTTTGCAACTGCCCACCGCGATTGTTTTCACTTGGGTCCAGGGAGCAAGCCCAGCGCTGGAGAGGCGATGAGCTTTGGGAGCCTGAGAACGAACTCTCGCCTGGGTTCCTGACTGATTTCAGAGGAGGAATCCTGTTAAACTGGGAAGTGCAACAGCGTGGAAGAAAATGAAGTACAAACAGAAAGCACACGACCAGAGGGAACGTGAACCGGACATAGCCTTTTACCTCTCCCGGTCCACAGGGCTGCAAAAAGAGGTTTTCCTGTCAGCACTCCTAAGTTCAAAAAGTCACAGTGAAATGTCAATGAAAATGCCTGGCGTGTTGGTATTTCATCCATATTAAACAGATCCCTCGTTTTAACCACAAGAGGCACATTCTTCAGTTACTCAGGAAGCTGCATGTAACTGCTGAAGTCTGTTTTTCATTTGTCTGGTATTTTTAAGCTTGTTTTTCTGAAAAGTTGCTGGATGAAAAAAATGCATCGTTTGCCTCTGTGCAGAATAACCAGCAAAGCATCATCTTTTCTCAGAGGAAATATTTGTGCTCTAGAGTCCCACCGCTACCCACAGAGCTTGGATGGTGCTGCGGATGATCTCAGTGTCACAGTATTTAAAATTATGATTAATAAATAGTTAACCAGAAGAACTATGGTGGGCTGTGGCAAAAATCATCCCAGATGGCTGGAGGGAATTTATAACTGTGTGAACATGATACAAAGCCTCATAGAAAAACAACACCCTATATCCAGTTTATATTTTAGCGACAACTATTTTTCTAGATAGATGCTTCCCAGAGTTGGCCCCGAAATATTCACAGCAACTAATTAAAGCCAAACCAAATTCCTCGAGGTGGAAAATCTAAATCTGACACCGACACCGTAGTGGTGAATAATAACACACTGAAAGCCTGTGATACGGAAGCTCAAGCTGTTTTTCCTTTTTTCCTACTTCTTACTTGAAAACAAGTGTCGCGGCTTCGCTTCTGGTACCCAGTGCTCTTCCCAGAGGCAGCGAGGCGATGTGCTGGCTAGCCACACATACACATGCACACAGGACATCACAATGGGTAGATATATTCCTGGCTTCCTAGATGTTTCCTGACATTGATTCTGTAACTGTTTGTTTGTGTTTGTTTTTTACTGAAATTGATATTAAAGTTGAGGAACTCCCTCCCCTCACTTCCCAAACTGCAAATTACGCTTTATACACTTCTCTCCTGACTCTGGTAAGCTGCCTGAACTTCCTTTTCATTCAGTCCATCCGCATGCCTGGTCACATTAATCTTGTTCAAGCACTGCACTAATCCTGCCACCTTCAAAACCTCTCGCTGATTCTCTGTGGCCTACTGAGCCCGTTAAAATTCCTTGGCAGGAAGATCAAGGCTCTGAATCTACCTTTCCCCTGTTCGCCAGTTACCTTTCCCCTGTCCTTCTGCAGCCAAGTGAGACAAATCTGTTGGCCTGGGAAGGCATCCACTTTACCTTGACCCTTCTGCTCCTGTCACTGCCTTCACAGAGAATCCCTCCCCCCAGTTCTTCCCCCATGACACCATCTTTCAGCAGTCTGTTTTTGGAAAGTGACTCTGAGGACAGTGCATTGGATGGGATAAGGAAGAAAGATACCAGAGGCAGGAGGTTATTGGTTATTAGAATACTACAGGAGACCTATGAGGAGGATCTGAATTAGCACAGAAAGAAAAGACGATGAATTTTGAAATTCGGTAAGGACTTGGGGAGAATCCGTTTTCACTACAACAGTGCTTGGGGGAGGGGAGGGCAAAGGGAGAGCTTATTCATTCATAATGCAATCACACAAAGGGAGGAGAGCGCCATCTACTGGTCAGATGCGCTGTTTAAAATGTTTTCAGTCCTCTCGTCAGCAAGAGTCTGGCAAGAATTCCATCTTTGTTTCTTTTCCACCAGTGGAATCCCCAATATCTACTGCCAAAGAGCTTTGAAGGTGTTGCTATCATCACCAGGAATAGTACTGATGAGGGGCGCCTGGATGGCTCAGTGGGTTGAATGTCTGACTCTTGATTTTGGCTCAGGTCATGATGTCAGGGTTGGTGGGTTCGAGCCCCATGTAGGGCTCTGTGCTTACAGTGCAGAGCATGCTTGGGATTCTCTCTCTCTCTCTCTCTCTCTCTCTGCCCCTCTCCCATTTGCATGCTCTCTCTCTCTCTGTGTCTCTGTCTCTCAAATAAACTTTGAAAAAGTTTTAAAAAGGGAATAGTGTGATGATACATTAACAACTGTATAATCTACAGTTACTGATTATCACATATTAAAAAATAGGATGGGGCACATAGCAAAAAGAGGAACAAAGAGTTAAGTTATCAGTGAGGAATGACATGAGCAGTAGGAAGAGTATCAGCCTATACAAGTCTCTGACAGCATATATTCTTGGATAAGTGACAAGCTGTGAAGGCACGGGTTCTCAGAAGGTGAGATGGGGGAGGTGCACATCAAAACCGATCATCTAAGGAGCTTTTTCAATCCATTGTCTTCACCTGGATTCTGATTATGTGCACCCCACACACACACTGAGACCTTTCTCAGTCCCTGTGAATAAAAATAGGACCCACCCTGTAAGTTACATCTGAAAGAAGAATGTAGCAACAGTCTTTGTGACCGTTCAAGTCATGTTTTAGTCCTAGAATATCCCTGGCACTGCTGAAGTAAAATATTACAGTTCCTTCCATCTTCCTCTTTTCTACTCTCTAAGTTGTGTGGGCTTGTCAAAGCCCATTCAAAGTCCCATCGCCTACACAGAACCATTCCAGACAATTCTTTACCTTTCTAGCTGCCCAGAACATTTATCTGGACTATTCATTTTTGGTTCTGGTTTGTTATACAAGTGTGGCCTCTGTATACAAAATGCCACCTGTTCTCCAACTGCCCGAAATGGTTGTAAGCTTCCAGAGGACACAGACCATGTCCTCTCTGAATCATCTGGAAACTGTTTTCTGCTAGAAGGGGTAGTGTAGGTGCCTAATAAACATCTATTAGATGTGTGTATATATTAGTTCAGGGTTCTCAACCTCCGAGCTACTTGGCCCCTGGTGCCAGGTTAATTCTTTGTTGTGGAGGTCACTGTAGGATACTCAGCAACATTCCTGATCTCGACCCATCGAGTATCAGTCTCATCCGCCCCCACCCCCCCCCCACACACACACACACTGCCAAATATGGGGGTGCATATGGAGGGGGCAAGTCTTGCTGCGGAGACCTGCTGTATCTGTGTAACATTTGTTAATCTTATCTAAATGTTTCGCTTCTCCAAGAAGAAGCTTTCGGAGAGACTGACTTTCAACTTGTCAAAATTGGGGCTAAGGAGAGAAGGATAAGACAAAACTGTTACACCACAGTAACATAAAGATGTACCTTCTCATTCCCATGCTTCTCTTCACATTACCAAAGTGGCCCTTGAAAAGGGGCTTGACTTTAACCTTGATCACTTGGTTAAGGTCATGTCTGCCCATTTTTTTTCCACCATAAAATTACTATTTTTCCCTTTCCATGCTCTGTTCTTTGGAAGTAAGTCATTAGGTACAGCCCACAATCAAGGGAGGGAGAATTAAGCCTGTGTCCTGAGGAGAGGGTATCTACATATATAATGGGACGTTCTGTGAGATTTGTCTCTTCTCCATTTATTTATTCATTCAATTATCTATATTTATTTTATACTCTGAGTAACAACTGAATACTGTGTGAGTTTTCTTGCTCAGATCGTTTCTGCTGTGGACAAGCTGTGGTAGCTCTCCCAGGTTCCTGTGTCCATTTCACATACCCCCTTTTCAAGGGCTGTTTTTGAAAATCAAACATTATCCTTTGCAATTAAATTTTGTTTTAATAAATATTGTTTTAATTCCAGCAAAGTCTAAGCCTGTGTGTGTGTGTGTGTGTGTGTGTGTTTTAGGTTTATTTATTTTGAGAGAGAGAGATCACGAGCAGGGGAAGGGCAGAAAGGGAGGGAGAGAATCCCAACCAGGCTCTGCA